TCTTCCTCCTAAATGGTCTCTAATCAGCTGTGAGTTGTGTAATTGCAGAGTGAAAGTGGAACCACACAGTCATGAAATGACAGCATGCAGGAAGTTACAGAGCAGGTTCAGCGAGTGCTGCGATGCCCACTGTGTAAGCGTTGCTGTGTCAGTGACGCGTGAGCTCTCCTGGCATGCATATGAACAACATGCAGGAGTGTAATGCAGCTGCTGTAGGTGTGACACGTAGGCTCTGGGGCCATCGTGGCTCAAGAGTTGGCAGTTCGTCTTGTAACCGGAAGGTTGCCGGTTTGAGCCCCGGCTCGGACAGTCTCGGTCGTTGTGTCCTTGGGCAAGACGCTTCACCTGCCGCCTGCTGGTAGGTGAATGTGAGAGTGAATGAATAGTGGAATTGTACAGTGCTTTAAGGGACCTCGAAAAGCGGCATATAAATGCAATCATTATTATTATTATTATTATTATTATTATTCTTGTACTGTTGTCCACGTTGCATCTGTGCAGATTCTAAAGCATGCTGTGGCTTCTCCTCTGCTCACAGACAAAGGTCAGCTGGGAAACACTCGGTCCTGCTATGATGTTATTTTGACACTCACCACCTACTTAAGCATTGTTGTACAGACCATGTATCAACAAGCTTGAGTGTTGGCTTGGCTTCCAAAGTCCCCACGTCCCGATCCAGTCGAGCTACAGATCAGGGATCGAGTCCATGCCTCGACAGGACAGGCAGCTACAGAGAGGCACCAACACAATATGAGGCAGGTGGTTCAAACCTGACCAGTGTAGGTTAAAGCACTGAGAACAAACAAGGAAAATGAACATACATGAAAACTCGATTATGATTGGCAGATGAGATCTGGACTTTGGCTGATTCCTACAATCGAAAACACGTGTTTGGGTTGCTGGATCAGCTGTTCAGGTGAAGGACAGGTTTGTTTTTAATCTGGAAGATGACATCTGTCGTTTAACCTGAAACTGCTGTCAAACTGCAGCTCAGGAAGTAACCAGCAGAGGGCAGTGTTTGTGTGTGTGTCTCTGTGCGTTCATGGCTGTGGTACCTGCAGCTTCCAGCTTTGTGTCACTGAGCTAACACTGTGTTATTGACATCTCTGTTCATCTTTACAAAATATCAGCACTGTAACCCTGAGATATCGACATTACAGTTTAATTTAATGCAAAGAGACGATCGTTTACGGTGGATTTCAAACTAAAAACAGTCAAAATGTTTTTATTATAGTTTGCAAAAATATGAACATGTGAACCATGTGATACTCAACCATGACATCATGAACATGTCGTTTAGTTCCTCATCATGGTGCCACATACTTTGAGGTACCCGTCACTACACCCGAATAACAGCTGACTGCCCGTTTCATTGGTTTTTACATTTATATTTACACCAAAGGAAAGACGAGTTACAGCCCTGCATTTCTCATCATTTCTCAAACTGCTTCACTGATTCCTCATTTTTGCTGATATCGACTTGCACATAGTTCAGTATACACCAGTAAAAACTGACTTTGTGGATTTTAACCATTGAAAAATGTGAAGTTGACTGTTTTTACATTTGTATGAAGTATACATGTCTTCACAAAGAGCGCGGTGGAGTGATTTTCAGAGAAAATGTCTCAGCTTTGAAATTAATTACTGTTAAAGTAAAACTTTGAAGGATTGGAGAGCGAGCAGTGAAACCTGTAATCTCCACATTTGTATTAAAATGATTTGAACAGAGAAAGAATCAGAGAAGTACAAAAAAAGAGCTTTCAGGGGTTAAAACTCTGATACAAACCTCGTGCAAAAGATGTTATATGTGTGTATATATGCATGTGTGTGTCTCTCTGAGACGTTCACAGCACATCTTGTTTGTGTACAAAGTAAATCAATAAAATAAATGTTTTTCTTGACTCTTTGCTCGAAGTTCCAGCTGCTGCTTCAGCAAATGAAGCCAATAAGACAAATGTCAGTCATCACAGTTCACCAGTGACACCAGTGACTGGATTCTTTAATCAGCCTGTGACTACTTCCTGAAGTGATAGCTAGCATCTGAACTCTGTACTGTGTCATTTCCACCTCCTGTGTCTGCCCCATTAGCTTCAGATAATGGCCAAGCTTTCCACACAGGCTGGCCCACAGCCTTGGAGCGCTCAGCATCACTGATTGCAGGCATTCTGGGAATTGGACTGACAGCAACCAAATAAATGGAATGAGAACTGAATTGCAATAGGAGGTAATGCTATGGAACAAACACGCTGTAAAATGACAACTTCTAAGTGAAAGGAAATCAGCATGTTGCAACATTTAGTCATTATTATTTCTATTTATTCATTTATTTGTAACTGAAAACATCCAGGACAAAACAAAAACACCCTGTTTAAAAAACAACTGAAAATGATCATGTCACTTCATTTTATCCTCCACTGAACCATCATTTCTAACCGAGACCTGAGATCATGGCAGCAGAGCTCAAACACACTTGCACCACATAACTACTCTGCACAAACATGTGACACAACAACAGATCATTAACAGAAACATCCACGCTGACTAACAGAGTTCTTCCTCGTTCCTTTACGGTGGACTTAAACTCCCCCACAGTAACACTGTCCAGGAAACAGCGCATCTAAAAGCCTTTTTCCTCGTTCTGTTCAGATTTTTGGGACAGTCAGTTGTATGAGATGATTTTACACATATAAACACGCGAACACGTTACTTTTACATTTTAAAGTAAGTATTAGTTCATCATATTATCAAGTATACAGAATTATTGCAGTAACAGTTACTGACGTGGGTCCTGTTGCACTGGGCCCATATTTGTGATGTGACTGAAACTGAGTGTTTCTCCACACGTCCACATTTTTAATAGACTCATGGATCGAAGGTCGTGGCTGCATTTAAACATGTTGCTAATGCTTCTGAATCTAACATCCCAGATGCCCCATTCTGGAGGTGGATTCCTGGATTAAAATGACTTTTGTTGTGTATTTGTGAGAAATGAACTTTCCCGTACTGACAGGCCGTGGCTGTGGGTCGCAGAGCCAGCCTCCTGCCCTCCTCTGCACGGGAACAAAAGCAGAGATGCAGTCAGGAGCTTTATGGGCCGCCTGCATCCCCAGGGCACTGTATGTGGGGCACCCCGAGCCTCCAGGACTTTCATGTTTTGCACTTTGTAAAATATTGACACTCCCTGGGCTTTCAAAACTGCACCATTGATTGGCGCTTAAGCCTCGCAGCTGGACTCTGACCAAAGCTGCTTCGTATTATTGGCGTGATTAATTAAAAAGAAAATGGTTTTAGCATGGCTGGATACACAGACGGGCTGCAGCCGCGACATGGTGGGACATGGCATTACATACAGACGCGTTTGCTCGCATGCACACGCATGAGCGGCGTACTGCGATGGCTGAAGGGTGAGGGGAGGTGTATGAAACACATTAACCCACAATGCACTGCTGAGTTTTGACAGATCCCTGCTTCAGGGCTGCTGAATTCATGAGCCATTACTCCTTCTCCTAGTTGGTGCATTATGTTCCATGTCATCTGCTATTAGTGGTGCAGTGACTGACATCCATTGAGAAAGCCGGTGCTTTCTGACACTGGCCAGCTGATGGGGCCAGCGTGGTGTTCTTGGGCTACGATGAAGCCACATTGTTGTTTTGTTTCCAGGCCTTCCTCTTTTTCTTGCTCATCCAGTTGCATTCATGCCTGCAGTAATCAGGACAATATTGCATCCTCCACAACGTCAAAGCAGCTATTGTGGTGCACAGTGAGCTCCAGCTGGCCTGCTTTACTCTTTTAGGGTACAGTGAGCTGGGGTTACCACCTTATTTTAGACTGTTCATGTCACGCAAGCTGTGATGTGGAGTTGATGTTTTTAACGACAAAAATCCTGAAGCCTTTAAATTATTAAATATAAGAAATAAGTCTGTACCATCTGTTTGCTCCTTTTCTGTGTATATAAGCAAACTGCATATGCTGTAGTATCTAATATCTCTGCCTTAACAACTGAGATGTGTATGAAACTGGGCCATGATCTCAGGAAGTATGCTGACTTCCTGTTTCAAATGCAATCTGACTGTATTGTAATTGTGACCATCACAGATACAGGAGTATATTTGAGTAACCCCCCCACCCCCACCACCCATTAGCCCACAGTCTAAATAGGCCTAAAAGGTTATGATGGAATTTGTCCCTGCCTGTTGTTGTTTACGCACTTCTTAGCGAAGGTCAGTGTATTGACCAATCTGGATATGGGGCAAGCATGACAAAACGCTGACATATAATCTGTGTGGCCTTGATGCTCCATTAAATGATCGATTCAGCTGGTTTGGGCTGGGGTGGGTGGGGGGGTAACCAGGGACTATGAAAGGTCAGTAACTGTTAGTTCATTGCTGGAGTGATTAATAAATCAATAGGAACAGCAGAGAGGTCCAGTAAATAAAACAGTTCCACCGAGTCCTGACCTCTCTGCAAACGGATGAATGAGGTGAGGGTGTGTCTACCAAAAGACCCCCCCTCTCTGAACCCCCATACATCCTGCTGACTGCTGCTGCTATAGAAACAGATGAATATTATACTAATATTCATTATTTTAATATTATAGTCATATTCATATTATACTAATCTTTAGTATACTAACGATCTGTTACATTAGACAGTCATGCATGTTCTGGTTACATTAGTTGTATTTGTTTCTCTTTTTTTGTGAAATAATCTCTACTTTTACAGGATTTGTTTCTGGTGTATTTTGTTGATGATGTTATCCTTGGAAAAGTACATAAACTTCCCTCCTGACAGACAAATAAGCTAACCCCGAGGTTATTTATTATTTATTATTAT